GAGAGATATGGGTTTCTAAGGCTGGACTTGGGAAAGAATGGGACTGAGAGGCAGGAGGGCAAAGGGGGTCAGAGAACTTTTGTTTCTGAGGTCTACATTTCTGAGCCCCATCAGTGTATCACTTGACCGTAGACTGAACAAACCTTCGATACAAATCTTACTACCTCAAGCAGTGACACAAAGTTGTAACATGTTTTTTTTTTCATATAAGGATCAAAATTAAGCTACTTTAAAAACAATCTAGTTTCTAAGCAGACACTATATTTTTAAAAAAGAATCTAAATAGTCCTAAAACATTTTCCAACTTGACTGTAAATTTGAGTATATGTAATACTTCCAAGGAATAAGACTGTACTGAGATTTTCCTTGAATTCTAAGAACAACCACCTCGTTCATCTTAAAATAAATTACTTATATAAAAATGGACAGTTCAGGGATTTTTTTCAGATTTTCCTATGCATAGGACTTTGCCGTGCGAACACAGTGTACACATAACCACCTCGCTTGCAAAGAGTAGAACAAGTCAAGAGTGGGCAAGACCAAGGGGAAAAACTGAAGCCTCCTGTAGCTACGACTCCTAGGGCTGCCTTAGATCTGTAACAATACTGTTAGTATCAGATGACAGAGTGAGTCAGACACAGATTTTCCATGTACCTTACCGCAGACATTGAAATCGGTGGAAGAAGCTGCATCTACAACTAGGGTTAAGAGACTGAAACCAAAATATCTTCATAAACTGTTGACCATAAGTTTGTGTTTTTGTGCTCCTATTTCCTTGATGGTTTCCTTATATTAATTTACTGACATTTATTTTTATTTACATTTTTACCTAAGTAAGAACCTTTAAGTTAAACACATGTGTATTTCTGTCAATAACTTAGGAGATTTAGCTGTTCACGTTAAACCAATAATATCAAATTAGTCTTATATATCAAAAATCACACAAACACATCATTTTGTTTTTGGCTGCATTTGTAGTTTTATAACATGTCAAACCCTGATACTTTATGAACATAAAAATGACCAGTAAACCCAGGCAAAAATGTATGCTGACAATTTGAAGACATTTCAATTTTCATTTTACCAATAATATTTTTTAAAAAAAAATAGCTTGTTTACCAAAGATTACTAAATTCACGTGAACTAGAAAAGCACTGGGATTTGTTTAATTATTTTATGAGTGCTCCCTTGTGTATAAGCCAGTCTGGTACCATGTAGACACGACATATAATACATGTACATACACAAAACACATCTAAACACATACACTCACATGCACACAAAGTTCCAATAACTTTTACCTCATAATTCTAGCCATGCTGTGGTAATACAAACTCACCAGTTTACAAGACAACTGGATCCCAATTACTTCTGATAAAATTGGAACTTCACATGGCTAAACTTTACTTGTCCTGGTAGGCAGTCTAATAAAGCCCGCAGACCAAAGTTTTGGGTAAAGCTTTCTATGGCAGTTTGATTTTTTTTTTTTTTATAATAACTCCTTTTATCCTTTTTTCCCTTCAGTTTAAAATGAGTTTTCAATGTTTACATTTTAGCTAGAACTGGCTGCAAGATCTCCAAGTAGCCTTGAATTAGTAATACTACAAACATTAATTTTATCTCAGCATCAGTAGAAAAAGTTAGTAGGTTCAGAGTAGGCAGAAAAGACAATAGAAAGCTTAAAAGACTCGACATTTTAACTTCATAGTGGCACATTGACCGTTTGAACTCTGAACTTTTCTTGATGTAATTTGCCCATCAGTTAAAACATGTGCACGAGAATTGACCATAACCAGCTGGAGTCTTAGCTGGGGCTCCCCAAGGGGGTCATTTTCCTTGTCTTTCCTCATTTTTAGAGGATTTATTTCCTTTTTTTTTTTTTTTGAGATAAGGTCTTGCCCTGTTGCCCAGGGCCCAGGGTAGAGTGTAGTGGTCTCATCATAGCTCACTGCAACCTCAGCTCCTGGGCTCCAGCGATCCTCCTAAGTAGGTGGGACTATAGGCACGTGCCACCACACCTGCTAATTTTTCTAATTTTTTTAGAGACAGGGTCTTGCTCAGGCTGGTCTGGAACTCCTGACCTCAGGCGATCTTCTCACCCTCCCAAAGTGCTAGGATTACAGACATGAGCCACCACGCCCGGCTTTCCTGCTGTCCTTTAAAAGAAGGAACCGAACCGTAGCCTAGAGTTTGTTGCAGTAGATCAGAGTGTGCTGATTCTGAGCGCGACTCTGCAGTGTCTCACCTCTGAGTGACACCCCCCCCCCCAGCCCCTTACATGTCTCAGTTTCTGTTTTGGGAGGTCTACCACCTCTGAGAGGGCTCAAAATGCCAAGTGATCAGCTCTTGTATTTGTTTCCTATGTGAGTTTTCTTTTAATTAATTTTGTTGGGGTGTTCCCTGTGGGGCCACTTCGAGTCATGGGGAGTCACCCCAGACACTCCCACTCAGGCCCCTGGTCACCCAGCGGTGCTTTTCTGCTGGGAGGAGTAAAATGCCCTTTCTCTTCAGAGCTGAGGAACTCGCTCTCTGATTTATCTGCGAACAGGAAGATTTGGTTTCATCCTTTGCAAATGCACAGAGAAGCCAATTGAGATTAATTTGGGGAGGAAAAGGCAATGGAGAAGACCCTTTAGAATACATCCCCAAATCAAAATTAGGATCCCAAACAAGAACTTCTAGGAAAAGAACCAACAGCTCGGAATAAACCAGGACCGTCAACCAAGATCATGAGGTCTGGGGCTTGGGAAGACTTCCCAGTTCCATCCAAGGAGAAGCTCGGAATTGAGGTGCCCAAGGGGGCCATGCTGGTACCTGGCACCAAGTTTAGGCTACTCCTTCAGGGGGTTCTGAGTCTTCTCTGAGCCCCATGTTGGGTACCATCTTGTCAGTGGAAAAGAACCCAAACCCTGTAAGATAATTTAAAGAGATTTATTCTGAATGTGTATCACCATGGTCTAGAGAGCCACACCCAAGAAGCCTTGAGCAAGTGGTCCTCTTTATGTTTTTATACTTTTATAATAAACACGCATATTAAGACAGTGATCTTTTTTGCGTTAATGCTTTTATTTTTAACAATGTACACTTACACATCTCATATATATAGATATCATGTATAATTTCATACTCCAACAAAATCTCATATCCATAAAGAATACTATAGTAGCTATTAATTGCAAAGCAAGCATTATACACCTGCCTCAGTTCTAAGCACTTTTACATGTATTAACTTATTTAATGCTTATCACAGTCCCATGAGTTTTGTACTCTTATTTTCCCCATTTTACAGATGAAGACACTGAGGCATAGAAAGATTCAGTAACTTGTCCAAGGGTTGCACGCTGTTAAGGGCAGAGCTACCACCTTTGATAGGTAGCAGTTTTAAGTGTTAAAAAAAACAACCTACATAAATGCTGTCGTATTTTACTTAACATTCCGAAACTTGGTTTTCACTCAGCCTTGTTCGTGAGATTCTGTTCATTTTGAGTAGATACCTAGTTAATTCCATTAAAGTGCTCTACCGTATGCTTCCATCATGTGAGCATACCATCTTTGTTCTCATATTGATGGGTATTTATTTCTATTTCTCTAAACTCTCTCCATGACAAGAAAACACTGCAGTGAACATCCTTGTACTCATCACGTGAGGGTGTCTCTGGGTTACCCCCCTGTGTGTAGTGTGTGTAGGCCCTGGGTCAAAGGGCATTTACAAAAATTTTTGTCTTCTCTAGATATTAACATTTTTTCCCCAAAATGTTTTTATCTGAATTCATGGTTTACATTCCCACTAGTAAGAGACTGAGTCTACTTAAGGACAATGGCTGGGCCATGTATAAAAATAGAGCTCTGACCCGCAGTCTGCAGCCTCCTGCCCGGGAAAGCAAGCTCTTATCTACAATGAGCCCAGCGAGCCGGCTGCTCCGAGTCACTTGCAGGGGGCCTGACCGCCATGTCTCTCGGTACCTTCTGTGACAGTGGCCCCCAAGTGGCCAGGATTGGATTAATAACCAATGACTTCTCTAATTTTTGTCTCCAATTAGGGCCAACCAGAGAAATGTGCACCCCTGACCGATCACTAAGGATACCCTGCTTGTAGTCAGTCCCCCTACAGCTCCCCCAGGCAGCAGCCTGCAGTGGGGGCCGCGCCTGGAGCCTGCCCAGTTCTCCACCGTGCGGCCCTCCCGCTCCTCTGCCTGCCTTTGAGTCTCTGCCAAAGCACAGCGACCGTGGCTGGCTCCCTTGGTGTAGCGAGCTCTGAATGAATAGCCTTTGTCTTTCTCATTTGCTTGAGCTTCATTGATTTGCACAGTAGCTCTATTTGGTTCCCATCGTTTCTTGGCGTCTCCCCGCTAGCTGTGTGTGAGGTCCCCGTTCCCCTGCATTGTCACCATCGCTGATGTTGTGTGGTTTCTATGCCAGTATGCTGGGTGCAGATGGTAATTCACTGCTGTCTTCATTTGCATTTGCCTGATGGGTGACATGGTGCCATGGTTTGAGACCGTTCTTTCCAGAGACAGTTGAAGGGATTTATAAGAAAGGAGTTATAAAAGTGCCTTTTTAAAATAGAGGAGGATACAAATGTCAGGTGGTTTAGCTTTATTTGTTTCTGAAGTTAGGGGAACCATTGTCTTAGACTTTTTCTTCTCAGCAGAAAAGGTCTTACTTTTTTTCCTCAACTAAATTTTAAGGAGGATGTTAAACGAGACAAAAACTAGAGCACCTCGGGTAAAATCAGTAGTATGCTCTACCTGTTTGGCCCCTCTCCTTTTCCCACCTGGCCTACCCTGCCCCTGAGACACTTGGTGGAATCCTAGGGCTGGGGACAGAGAGGGAGGGGTGGAGAGCTGGTAACCTACGTGATGCCTTCGGGTGCCTCCTGCTGTGAGAATTGGACGAAATTCCATTTTTCATCACTTTCAGCCGCAGCAGGGAAGGGTAACTTTGTAAACTCTGCACGACTTTGAGCTAAATGTATTTATTTCTCTCTGGTCTTCCGGCAGGCAGGAGTTCGTGGATGCTTACGTGAATTATGTCTTCCACATCTCAGTCCACGAATGGTACACAGCCTTCTCCAGTGGCTTCCTGAAGGTGTGTGGTGGCAAAGTGCTTGAGCTCTTCCAGCCTTCAGAACTGAGGGCCATGATGGTGGGGAACAGCAACTACAACTGGCAGGAACTGGAGGAGGTAAGCGCTGGAGACGCTGCCCTTTGGCCGTGGCGAGGCCGCGGCAGGCGGTTGGGGGCCTGGAGCCTGGTCTCGTTCAGAGACCGCGGAGGCCGAGTGGGATTCGGAGGGCTCCTGTGTCCCAGTAGCTATTTCTCAGCCTCAAATGCCAACGGTATACAGTGTCCGCTGTGATATTCTTCTTCTTCTATCCGATGTATGTTTTCCCTTTTTGTCTTTTTTGGACAGACTGCCATTTACAAGGGCGATTATTCAGCTACACATCCCACTGTGAAACTATTTTGGGAAACATTTCATGAGTTTCCGTTGGAAAAGAAGAAGAAGTTTCTCTGTAAGTGTCAGTAATATCAATACAATATTTGTCCAGATTTTGGTCTTAATGTATAGCAGAGGATGACACACAGCGTAGGTGAGGTTTAATGCTTTTAAGTGGTAAACAGTAAATGTATTCACGCCTTCTGTCTTCATGATATCTCAGGCACAACATAGGTGGTTAATCTATGTCTGTTGCCTAACGAGGGGTTGCATGAAAGGAAGAAAAGCATTGCACTGATTTTCAATTTTTCTAAAAATACTAGTTCTTTTACATGTAAGTGATTCCTTTAAGAATTACATCTATGAAATCATTGTTGCAATCAACCTCCCTTATCTCTGTAGCCTTTTTTTTGTCCCTGAGCAAGGTCTTGCTCTATTGGCCAAGCTAGAGTGCCATGGTGTCATCATAGCTACGACAACCTTGAACTCCTGGGCTCAAGCGATCCTCCTGCCTCAGCTTCCTGAGTAGCTGGGACTACAGGCGCATGCCATCATGCCTGGCTAATTTTTTTAAAATTTTTTGTTTAAATTTTGAGACAGGGTCTTGCTGTGTTGCCCAGGCTGGACTTGAGCTCCTGTCCTCAAGCAATCCTCATGCCAAAGTGCTGGGATTGTGGGTGTGAGCAGCGACACCAGGCCTCTGGCCTTTTAAACGTATTACGAAGTATCTACTGCAGATGGAACTGGGGAGATGTGAGCTATAGCGGCTTTATTGCGATGTAATTCACATGCCATACAGTTCACCCATTTAAAGTGGTTTTTATAAGAGCATATACACAGAGTTGTGAGACTACCAGAGTCAATTTTAGAACACGTTCATCACCCCGGAAAGAAACCTTGTACTCGTTGCAAGCATTCCTCATGTCTCTATGAATTTGCCTATTCTAGACGTTTCATATAAATAGAGTCAGACAATATGTGGTCCTTTGTGGCTGGGTGGATGACATCTGGGAAGGGTAATACCTTTGGAAAGGAGAATGAAGTCTAGTTTACATGAACAAGTTAAGCCTTTTGAAAATAGTTGGAATCTTTCTCTGTTAGTGCCTGTGTGTAATCAGGGTCAGAAAGTAGCCAGTGAGTAGTATAGAATTTTTATCCACATAAAACCAAAAAAACAGGGTTCAAAAGGCGGTCTCTTGCTTTGTGAGACCGGGCATGTATTTATAGTACCGCGGGACTAGCCCAGATTCTGGGGCTCACGCGAAGCGAGGACGAGAGAAGGGGCAGCTCCTACACGGGAATTCTTACAAAGAGCCTCGCTGCTGCTCCACCGGCTACACTGGCCGGCGACAAGCAGTGGCACGTGGATTGAATGACAGGGCAGGGTTCGCCAGGTGAGCTCGTAGGGCCGTTGTGACCTGCTCGTGGCCGGTCCTGAGGGTTTCCTTGGAGAAAGGCATTTTCTGTTCGGAGACCAGTTAGACTTACCAAGATTTTTATTAACTCTAGAGATTTGGGCAAGAGTGTTTATATATCACAGCCTTAGGAAACGGCAGGTTATTCGAAAGTGCTTCTTAACTGATGATTTAATTATAGCGATTCCCAGCAGTCTAGCTGCGAGAAAGTTCTCCAGCAACAGGGAACAGGGAGCGACAGCGGGGCGGGTCTCTCTGGCCGAGTCGCAGTGCCCGTCACGACACTGGAATGTCTACTATAAAGTGTGGGTCAGCTTCTCTGGTTTGAGAAAAATGGGGAGACAGGGAAGGGAGAGCAAACAGACCCCAAATGGAAATTCAGCAGCCAGGGTGGCGCAAGCATCCGGCACACGAGGTGAAAAAAAGTGTGTTCTTTGAGGTCACAGACACGTGGGCCTTCTTCCCGGCTTCCCCCAAAGGCAGCGCCTCTTCTCCTGTGGGCGATTTCTTTCCTCTTGGGTTTTGTGCGAGCTCGTGGAATGTGTGATCGGGGCCGTTCCTTTTTTGGGGGCGTCTCTGAGCATGATGCCGCTGGACGCACGGTGGCAGGGAAGGGAACCGCGCTGGCCGTGGGAGCCGCAGGGCGTTGCGCCGTCCGTCGCGTCCGCCCGCCGTTACCGCCCGTTCTTGCCCGCAGTGTTCCTGACGGGCAGCGACCGCATCCCCATCTACGGCATGGCGAGCCTGCAGATCGTCATCCAGCCCACGGCCAGCGGCGAGGAGTACCTGCCGGTGGCGCACACCTGCTACAACCTGCTCGACCTGCCCAAGTACCGCAGCAAGGAGGTGCTGCGCGCGCGCCTCTCGCAGGCGCTGGACGGCTACGAGGGCTTCAGCCTGGCCTGAGCCGCGCAAAGCCCCGGCAGCGATTGCAATTTTTTTTATCGGCCGAGGGGGTTGAGACGTTTCCATCCTGAACCCGGTCGACGTGTTTCTGGGCTTGGAAAGCAGTAAAACAGCCTTTTTGAAAAAACGAGAGCTTAGGGATGGGGTGAAAGAGTTGGCTCTTACGCGGGAGGTGTTTTGTCTTTGTTTTTGTTTTCAACCAGACTGCCTGCTGTTGCTCGTTCTTGCGGCTGCGTTGCCCTCTGCTGGACAGCGTGGCGGTGGCTTTTACACTTTCGTTTCCCAGATGTCTCTCCCGGCCCGACCGCTGGTCTGGGCCGCTCGGCCGTCCTGACCCGCGCGGGGAGCGCCTCCCTCCCTGCAGCCCGGACGCCCGGCCTGTCCCTGTCGCATCGCAGCCCCGCCTGGCCCGCGAGGAGGACGGACTGCTTCCGAGACTCCCAGCTCCAAAAAGCTGAGTCTGGGTCCGTTACTTTGGCGGGACTCTTGAGAATTTCTGGGAGCCTTTATAAACACATCTTGCTTAAAAAAAAAAAAATTCTCGAGGGAACAGCAACCTTCCCACGGCTGTGCCCACTTCCTAGAGCTTTCTGGAGATGCGCAGAGCAGCCGAGAGTTGCAGCCGAGCCTGATTTTGTCTTGTAGCTCAGCCGCGTGCCTGTGACAAGGCGAAGTGACAGGCCCCTACCTGTCCTGCTGTTTTGCTCCTGGAGCAGGTTGCGTCAACGATGTTGAGTCTCCGTATTGTCCCAGAGAAAAGCAGAAATGATAAATTTCTTGTCCTGTTCTCTATTACTTTACACCCTCCACCACTTTCTCTCTCCTCCTTCCCCCCTTCCTCCCTCACTTTCCTTTCGTCCCTTTCTCACTTTACCCAGTTTTTGTTACTTAATAGTCCTCCCCGCTTCTCTCCTAGTGGGTGCATGCAGTCTGTTTACTTAAATTTTTATTTAAATCGCAAAATTTGTACTCAGATTCTTTTTTCCTCTTCCCTAATTGCTAAGACATAAGGACATTCTTTATTAGGGAACTTTGTTTATCAAATTTGAAATGTCTGTTTACAGTGGGATTTTAGGGGAGATTGTGTTTAAATCAAATATATCTATCTCAAAAATAATGACATGCTCAACCTTCCTCATCCTGGGCTAAGAAAATTCTAGATGATTAAAGAGTCCATGTAAGCCTAATTTTAAATTCCTAGTAACTAGAGAAAAGACTTATTTATATAAAATGGAGTATTTATGAACCGTGACACAGCAGCAAATCTCAATGAAGGATTGTAGATTTTTGCTTTTGCTTTTTGTTTTTAAAACTTATTCAAATTGCTAAATCGGTAGTTTTTCAGTCTTTATAAATACAAGATTAAAAAATGATATACAGTTATATGAAATGTTTATTTTCTATGTGTGTCCATATAGTTGAATATTATGCAATAAATCTGGTGTTTTAACTTAAAACCACTTCTTATTGTACTTGCAGAATGGACAGCTTGCTTTCAGCGGAAGCATTAGGTCATCCACCCAAATAATCTGATATCCATAGACGGTCAAATTTGGTTCCTGCCATAAGAAAGTGGAAGGAAGAGCTGCAGAAACGGAGAGGAGGGCAGGGGCAGGTGGCGTTGGGCCGGACGGGAGTTCTGCAGGTGGGGACGGACAAGAAGGCATTTCTCTTGGAGGGAGAGGCTTTAGCCGAGGCTCAGACACGGGGGCATGTTGGGGAAGGCCAGGAATGGTTTGAAGGGAGCATCGCAGGAGAACAGTGATAAATGAAGATAAATGAGACCGGGGAGAAAGAAGGGAGATTGAGGCTGAGCAGCCAGGCCAAGCGCTGGGACGTCGGCGAGTAGCCACGCAGGATTCGTTCAGACGTTCAGCGCCTTGGAGTGGGAAACCCGAGCCTGGTCCTAAGAAGGACAACGCGGATGGGATGAGTTTGGAGGAATCGGAGTGGGAAAGACTGAAGAAGGAAGACAGCAGCTCAGAGCAGGGGGTGGCGGCGGGCACCAGAGAGGGGCGCGGGGAGAAGCGGGTTGAGGGGGGACCGGAGACCTGTCTGTCCCGTGACTGACGACCATTCGCCCACTCACACGCACCAAGTGTATGAGACACGGCGAAACAACGAGTATTTTCCATAAACTGGTGAAACAAGCACAATGTATTGTTTTGCTGGATTTAATAGATGGTTTAAAGGTGGTGAAGAGAACAGTTCTCTTAATAAGCTCCGTTCAACAAACATGGATTTTGCTGGGATGTTTTTCTTTTTCCCGTCGTCATTTATTGCTTCAGAAGACTGCAGTCTCCAGGATGGGCATTTCTGGACGTGCCCACCCACCGACTGCCCTCCCTGCCCTGCACACCTTTGGACGTTTCTTCACTACTGCAGTCCTTAACCAATTTAGTGACATTCGTTGGCAACTGTCTTTTGCTGGGTGGGGCTCCGTGGGAGTATACGTAGGCAGTTAGCAAACGTTGAGAGTTCTGTCTGCTCTGTGCAAAAGCTTGTTGAGGATGGGTATGATGCTCTCGTTAATGATCACGGAGAGCAGGGCTTGGCAGACTGGCCCATGGGCTGTAGGTTTTTACATTTTTAAAACGGGTAACAGTTGTTAAAAAGGAAGGATACATTGACAGAGACTGCGTGGCCCACAGAACCTAACGTGTTAGTATCTAGCACTTTACAGAAGAAATCTGCCATCCGTTGTGGGACCAGAATTGCAGGAATCATAATAACTGAAGTTTTAGGAGTAACTTGAGTCATAATTTGACGCTGAATCAGAGAAAACAAGTGTTTGGGCTTTTCTGACACAGAGGTAAGAAAATCAAGTTTTGTTTAAGATTAACCCACAGAAACGGCTACTAAGATTTTTAACTGTAAGAATAACCCCTATTGATGGTATGTTGGATGCCTGACCCTGCAGCAGCATGTGCTGTGCACTATCCAGTTTAATTGTCACCATGGTCCTCTTGGCTCTGCCATTCACTAGCTGCGTGGCCTTGGGCAGGTTTCTTAACCTCTCTGTGCCCCACTTTCTTCCTATGCAAAATAAGGACAGAAATAGTACCTACCTCATGGAATTGTTATGAGGATTAAATGAATTCACAGAAACCACACAGAGCAAGGCCTAGCATATAATTAGCTCTCAGTAACTATCTTCAACACTATTATCTCAGTTTTTCATATGAGAAAATTATCGTTGAGAGAAAATAACGTGCTCATTTTCACAGAACCGTGGGACCTAGGCTTGAGCATTAAATGGCGTCATGCCTGGCTGCTGGAGAGGGGCAGAAAATTGCCTGAGGCTGCTCGTTGGCCGTGTAGAAAGGAAGATCGTGAAGTAGCAGGTGACTTCTTTGACCACACATCTGGAAAGACATCGTGGTAAGTTTTTGCTTGTTCTGTGTGCGATTCAGTAGCAATGAGGTTTGCAGTTCTCTTGTCACCTGCAGTGGGTCTCAGATGGAGCCGGGGCGTTCAGTGGTCGGAGGCCAGGAAGGCTTACTGCCTTTCGCTGCATACAACAGTCCCCCTCTGTCCCACCAGAGATGCCAGTGCGCCCCGCTGTGCTCTGAATGTCTGTGTTCCTCTAAAATTCACGTCTTGAAACCAAATCTGAAAGGCGATGATACTAGGAGGTGGCCTTTGGGAGATGATTAGATCATGAAGAGAGAATTCTCATGGCAAGACAGAGCAAGAAGGTCACAGCGAGAAGGCACAATCTACGAGAAAGTTGTCCCTCGCCAGACACCACCCGCGCCTTGGTCTTGGACTTCCCGGCCTCCAGAACCGTGAGAAGTGGATGTCTGTTGTTCGTAAGTTACTCAGTCTGTGGTATTTGTTAGAGGAGCCTCAGTGGACTGACAGTAGCCATTCTGACGCAAGACGGTATCTCATTGTGGTTTGAGTGTGCATTTCTCTGATGGTTAGTGACATTGAGCATTTTTTCATATGCTTGTTGGCCATTTGTATATCTTCCTTTGGAAATGTCGGTTCATGTCCTTTGCCCATTGTTAATGGGATTATTTGTTTTTCTGGGAATTAGTCCCTCATCAGATACACAGTTTGCAAATATTTTCTCCCGTCCTGCAGGTCGTCTTGTCACTCGGTTGATTATTTCTTTCGCTGTGTGATTCCTATTGTCTGTTGCTGTTTCTGTTGACTCTGCTCTCGAGGTCTCAGTCATGACTTTTTGCTGAGGCCAATGTTTGGAAGAGTTTTTGTTCTAAAGGAGTCAAGGCGGCATTCTCGTCTTTGAACAGTTTCTAGCTGTATTTTGGTGGGGCAGTGATGCCAGGGGGTCATCTCTTCCACCACCTTGCTAGTGGCACTCTGAAACGCTATTTTCCAATAAGTTTAGATTCACAGAAAAGTGGCAAAGATAACACAGAGTGCTCACGTCCCTCACAACGGCGGGGCGGCAGTGTAGCCCCGAAGCAGCGTTTCGGCTCCGGGCACTCGTTACTCAGCCTTGCCCAGACCAGGAAGCCACAGAGGGCACCAGGATGGCGCCCCCTACTAGGGAATGAGAAGCAACGACAGGCCAGTGTCCCCCAGTGGCGGTGTCTTACATCACCACGGCACGTGCATCAGAGCTAAGGAGCCAGTGCTGGGAAATTACTGTTAACTAAACCCCAGGCTTCATTTGGACGTCACCAGTTTCCGCTGACGTCTCTCTCCATGGTACGATCCAGGGTCCCGCACGCATTTAGGTCAACAGGCCCAGTGAGTACTGGGGTTCAGGCTTTGACTCTGGCACGAGATGGAAGTGCAGGTATTTTGTGCCATCTTTGCCACCCTGGGAAGTCACACTATACGGTCTTGGGACGTAGGGTAACGTGAAGGGCCTCTCAGGACAGGTAGGTCATTGGGCCGCCCCGGGAGACCCTCAGCACACAGGCGAGCCCTTTCCCAGCAAGCAGGAATGAGTTTCCCATTGGAAAAGACCTTGTGCGAGGAGGGAAAAGGTGGTTTGCATTATAGGTTTGGCTCTTTCTGGGTTAAAGAAAGTTACACTTTATTCAGACTTCTTAGATAACTGTGACTCCCTAAGAGGGAATAGAGCACGTAGCATTTCACAAATTCGCTTTCTCACCGAAATCTTCGTCTTTAGGTAGATTGTTTTTGGGCAGAGCTTAGCATGTTCTAATTTCTCCAAGGACTATAGTTTGGAATTAATAGTTAAAAGTAGTTAATCAGAGGATAAGGGATAAAGGTGGGATGAAGGGCGGGCATGTGGTAGAACAGCAATAGATTTGAGGTGAAACCCAGTGAATAGAACACATCACGTTAGGGTCAACCATAGGAGGAGAAGCAAATAATTTAAATAAAATGAAAGCTAATGTGCAGAATTTCAGCATTTTCTTTTAATAAGAAATATAAGTGTTGCTCAGCTCAAGTTTTCTTTGGCTCTTAAAATGGAACCAAGCGAATTTTAAACCAGTCGTTAAGTCCCTAAAATGTCTAGAACATCACGCCCACGTTGCCTGTAATACCCTCCACTTCGTTAGTAGCAGGGGTTGCTTGAGTCGCGAGTGTGCTGGTTTGGGAACGTCTCCATCTTTGATACGCCTTTGCGGAGCGTGGACAGGAGCCGTCGGTGGGCTCCACCCGTGGCCTCGTGCTGGGGGACGGGGTCTCACACGGCAGAGCGGAGCTTGAAGGGGATGAGGAAGGGGATGAAGAGAGCAGGTCCTTGTGTCTTCAGAAAAGGTACAAATTCTCCTGTTGCTTGGACCGTGGGAGTTCTCCAGTTGGGGGCGACACAGAACCTACCACCACGCCTTTCCAGCCAGGTGTTGGTAGAGAAAGATGGATGAGCCCGGTGGAGGGGGTGGCAGTGCTGGCCCCTGACGGCAGCTGTTTGCTCTGGGGTGTCGACCCCGCCGCCCCGGTGCAGGTGGGTGAGGCGCGCACTCGGCTTCGCGGCTGTGATGCCCGTTCCTCGCGCAGTGGGCTACCTGCACGCCCGCCAGAGGGCGTGGGCAGGCTCTGTGGATCCGCATCAGTAACGTCCTTTCCCTCGGATCGGCCAGTCCAGGCTTTGGTGCTTCATTTCCTTCCACAGTAATGGGGTGCGCACCCCTTAGTTTGCGTAGCACCAAGAGAACGAGTTCAGATACCAGCTTTCCCCTGCCCGCCCCCAAGTGTCCGGATGCCTGGCGAGGTGCGTGACCACGGGGTCTTTAGCGCCTGTAAAAGCTGATCGTCCGGGGCCGGGTCCCATGGGAGCT